GTTTGACCTCATTGTCGCAGTCACTGCATCAAACCGTCTTGCTGAGGGTCTTCCTCTTTTGTGCTGAACCTCTACTTCACCAAGCATGATGTCCTTCTCCAGGGACTGGTCCCTCCTGATAACATGTCCAAAGTATGAGACAAAGTCTCATCATCCTCACTTCTAAGGAGCATTCTGGCTGTACTTCTCCCAAGACAGATCTGTTCCTTCTTCTGGCAGTCACAATATATTCAATATATTTTGCCAACATCATAATTCAAAGGCATCAATTCTTCTTCAGTCTCCCTGATTCATTACCCAGCTTTCACATACATATGAGGTAACTGAAAATATCATGGCTTGGGTCAGGTGCACCTTAGTCCTCAAAGTGACATATATGCTTTTTGACACTTTAAAAAGGTCTTTTGTAGCAGATTCACCCAAGGCAATACGTCGTTTGATTTCCTGACTGCTGCTTCCACGGACGTTGATTGTGGATACAAGTAAAACGAAATCCTGACAACTTCAATAGTGTCTCTATTTATCATGATGTCACTTACTGGTCCAGTTGTGAGGATTTTTGCTTTATCTTGAGATACAATCCATACTGAAGGCTGTGGTCTTTGATCTTCATCAGTAAGTGCTTCAAGTCCTCTTCACTTTCAGCAAGCAAGGTTGTGTCATCTGGATATCGCAGATTGTTAATGAGTCTTCCCCTAATCCTGATGCCACATTCTTCTTCATATAGTCCAGCTTCCTGGAATTTTGCTCAGCATACAGATTGAATAAGTACAGTGAAAGGATACAACCCTGACCATTCCTGATTTTTAAACCAAACAGTATTCCCTTGTTCTGTTTGAATAACTGCCTCTTGGTCTATATATAGGTTCTGCATGAGCCCAATTAAGTATTCTGGAATTCCCATTATAATTCCCACTTATAATTTCTTATAATCCACACAGTCGAATGCCTTTGCACAGTCAATAAAACACAGGTAAACATCTTTCTGGTATTCTCTGCTTTCGGCCAAGATCCATCTGACCTCAGCAATGATACCCCTTGTTGCACATCCTCTTCAGAATCCAGCTTGAATTTCTGGCAGTTCCCCATCGATGTACTGCTGCAATCATTTTTAAATGATCTTCTGCAAAATTTTACTTGCAAGTGATATTAATTATACTGTTTGATAATTTCCGCATTCTGTTGGATCACCTCTCTTTGGAATGGGCACTCATATGGATCTCTTCCAGTTGGCTGGCCAGGTGGCTGTCTTCCAAACATTTTAAATACTATTATTAAAAAACAAAGTCTAAGGATGCCCAGTGTTAGATGGGAATTTGAAGAAATGATATTCTCATACAATGTTTAAGAGAGTAGGAGAAAATGGGAACCCTCATTTATTTTCAGAGGAAAGAAACAATAGAGCAAAATTACATAAAATATTCCCATAGACAAAAACCTATAATATAGTCCCCTACTATATCTAAATGTGATCCCTTAAAAATTGTTATTTAAATATATCTCAGGCAAATAACTACTGAGAAAACTAAGTTTTTCATCACAGGGCTGTTTTAAATCTCTAATCAGACTTGGATAAATTTGTTTTATTTACCATATGAGAAGGATCTGGAATGTCTAACAATAAATGGGTTTAAGCCTTACACAACTCTTATGGTAACACTCGCTGCTCTAACCTGAAATATAAAATTTGTAAGTCTATACTAGAATCAATCCAGATAGGTTACTGAAAGATATACACAGTAAACTATTTCTGCTCATGCAGAACCTGTACAGAGACCAAGAAGCAGTCATTTGAACAGAACAAGGGGATGCTGCATGGTTTAAAATCAGGAAAGGTGGGCATCAGGGCTATATCCTTCCACTATATTCAATCTGTATGCTGAGTAAATAATCTGAGAAACTGAACTGTATGAAGAAAAATGCTGCATCAGGACTGGAGGAAGACTCATTAAAAACCTGCAATATGCAGATGATACAATCTTGTTTGCTGAAAGTGAAGAGGACTTGAAGCACTTAATGATGAAGATCAAAGACTACAGCCTTCAGTATGGATTACACCTCAACATAAAGAAAAAAAAATCCTCACAACTGGCTCAGTAAGCAACATCGTGATACATGGAGAAAACACTGAAGTTGTCAAAATTTCATTTGACTTAGATCCACAATCAACACCCATGGAAGTAGCAGTCAAGAAGTCAAGCTATGTATTGCATTGGGCAAATCTGCTGCAAAAGACCTGTTTAAAGTGTTCAAAAGCAAAGATGTCACCTTGAGGACCAAGGT